GCATCAGAGGTAATGTGGATCAATGCTTTGCTTGCAGAAATTGGCTTGAGTATAAAGAAAACTCCTGTGATCTGGGTTGACAATCAAAGCACTGTTTTCTTAGCCTTTAATCCCATTATGCATGGTAGAACAAAACATGTTGAGCTGGATTATCATTTTGTTAGAGAGAAAATTGCTAATGGGAATTTGAGTGTTCATCACATACCTTCAGTGGAACAAGTATCAGATTTATTTACCAAGCCTTTGTCCATTCAATTCTTCTCTCGGCTTAGAAACAGACTTGGCATCATTTCAGAATCCTCGATCGAATTGAGGGGGAGTGTTAGCAAACCACACATTTCAGCTTTGATAAACAAAAATAGAAACAAGGCACGTGCATGCATGGAGACAAAGTCAAGGGATTATGTGGTGCATGAAGACAAGACTTAAGTTGCTTTATGCTTTTGAGGTGTCCATCTTTACAGCCATTGATCATTTGTAACTAGGAGTGAAAATCAGCCTTTCATTTACCATATATATATATATATGTGCAGATAGTGTAGCAAATGTAGGTTTTATCATTTTTCAAATCATAGCAGCCGACTTGTACCTTTTGAACATTTTTCCTTCAGCATGAGAATGCAATTTCAGATCTTGATTTTTGCTATGTTTCTCATGAAAAACTTTCACTTATGCCTTTAGTTTGATTGTTATTATATGTATTACTATTATTTATGTGCGTATTTATTTATGTTGTGTATTGGGCTTGTTTTAGTTTGGGCTTTAAGTGGTTATAAGGACTTGTGTATTAAAACAGATGGGAGTGTGTTTATTATGGCGATTATGATATTATGAATTCGTCGTGAAAAGAAAAACTGTTCTTCTTGTGTTCTCTTTGAATTTTCTCATCACTTGCTTCCTGCTACATCACCTTTGGTCAATAACTTCCTCATAATAACCTTATTATATATGTTATATACACCAATGTCCAATATCATGACCTCTCATTGTGCCCTAGCAACATTTTTGGTCAATAATTTTCTCATAACCTCATTGCTAGATATACACCAATATCATGGCCTCTTAGTGAAATAACGAAAAAATTGCAGTTTTTTTATTCAATTTTGATTTCACGCCAGAATCCGACAATTATTTGATCCGAAATTGTTCAATTTGGACCCGATTGCCTATAATTTAAGAGATATTTGGACCAATTTCGAAACTTTATAAGTTAATGAGCAAAATTGAAAACACCCTAAGTTAGTGGACCAAAGTCAATGTAATTGAACTGTGTGCGCGGATAACTTCAAATTCACATCCGACAACTTCAATTTCGAGCCGAAGGGATTATCGATGTTTGTGGTGATGATTGAGGGGTCGAAATTGGCATAAAAAATTTTCCATATTGATTTGAAAACATATATGTTGGCCCAAATGAAAGTCCATGACAAATGTGTATATAAACATGTAACATCTTTATTGTTAATGTGGTTATATAATCTACTTTAGAAGTTATTCAATTTGGAGTGTAATATTTTGGTGGATTATTCACTAGAATTTGTTTTATTTATGTACTCATTTAAAGTGCTACATTTCAACGCTGCTGATGTATCCACCTTAGGTTACTCAAAAAAGGGCTAACCACCTTGATGGTTGACATGACCAAAGCAACTCCCCGTCATAAATGTCTTCCAACGGATTCCCCTAATTATATAGGTCAAATTACATAAATATATAGGGTGCTATTTTGTTTTTTTAATATTATTTTATCAAGGTTTTAAATAGCGGGCTAAAACGTTTATGACACTGTAGCTATAGCGGAGCTATAGCGGAGATTTAGCGGGATTTAGCGACTAAATTGCACATGAATACAAATAGCGGCACGCTGCCAAATAAAGCTATTTCTCAAATAGCGATAACTTTAGCGAGCTATTTATTTCCTTGTATTTTATAAAAAAAAAAAAAGATGGAAAAGTGAAGAATATACTTAATTTGTGTAAAAAAAAGTGAAGACCATGTTTGGATATAAAAATTTTTGGTTTTGTTTGAATTTTTTTAGTTTGGTTTTGTTAATTTTGAAAAAGTTGGTACGGTTGATTGTTAGCTAATATATTAAATTAATATTTAAACTAAAATGATTAAAGTTGGTTTGACGTAAAAGTAGGAGAAATGAGATTTGAAGTGATGTTTAGTTAAAATCATGTGAATATATGAATAGTGAACTAAAGTTAAAAAGAGTAATTGATTGATATTATTTAATTATATTTATAGTGAAATTGAGTTAAAAAAAAAATAGTTGAGTTAAAAATATTTAATTTTTTTTAGATGTTCTGTATCTAAGCATCCTCGAAATAGTTTAGCATAATTGTGAAATGAGGGATGCAAAAATGAGAAATACTTTGTGTGAGAATGTGAAATTGTTAGCAATTATGAATGAATATAAAATACTAACATAATAATTAGAATTGATATAACTATTATTATTATTATTATTATTATTATTATTATTATTATTATTATTATTGTTATTATTTTATTATTATTATTAATAATAGTAGTATCATGATCGATTATTTAAAACAAGCCAATACAATTGAGAGGAATGTCAATTTTATACTTCACCAAAAGTATCTTCAAATTTTGATAATCAGGAAATCAAGAGTGATGTCCCACACAGGTGAATCGCACCATAAAAGGGAGAGCCTAGGTGCACCATAGTAAAGTTTCATCCCAAAATTAATTGGTGATGTGAGGAGTAGCCCACTAGGCTTATAAACTAGACACATTTACCTTATCAAATCAATGTGAGACGACTTACAAGCGATATTCCAACACGCCTCACTCACTTGTGAGTTCTTCATCAACCCAACCTACAACCAGGCCGGATACATTCATCAGTCCAAGCCTACAACCAAGTCGAATACATTTTTAAATCATCAAAGGTCCCAAATTAGGCTCGCTCTGATATAATATCAAATTTTGATAATCGGAGAATCAAGGTGCGGTCCACACTTGTGAAGTGCACCATAAGAGGGTGAGATTAGGTGCACCACATGAGGTTCCATCTCAAAATCAATTGGTGATGGGAGGAGTAATTACTCAATAGACTTATAAAGTATACTCATTTATTCTATTAAATTAATGTAGGACGTCTCACAAGTGATATTCTAACCGTATGTTAATAAATTAGTCATAAGGTGTTTACAACAACAATGAATTTCTTTATGCATCATGCAATAGTGACATAAGAGACATAAGAGATGGCATGGGAATTTATTAGTAACACGTTTCCCGATAGATATATTCTATTACTTTACATATCAAATCATTTTTAAAATGAATATTGGGCATTGTTCTATTATCGGTGCCGAGCTTCAGGGGTTGTAGTTAGCATAGGATATGGGATATCGATAAGTGATTGCCGAGGTCGATAGCTCGTGCGTGGCGAAAATGGTGTGCAATCGAGAAGAAGGTGATGAAGCACATAACTCGCTGGTAAAAGCAACTCGTGATCTTATCCAAAGTGATTGGGTCGTTAGAGTCAAACATGTCCACAGGGAGGCAAACTTTGCAGCGGATTATTTGGCGGGCCTTGCGGCATCTTACCCGATGGGACTACAGCATGTAATATCCCCTCCTCGGGAATTGGGAATCTGGCTTGAGCATGATAATATTGGGGTTGCGTACCCTCGTCGAGTAGCAACCTAGGCTTCGTCCTCCTTCTTTGTACAAAAAAAAAAAATAAATAAAAAATGAACAATGATCAAATTTACAAATCATTTTTTGTCATAAATCTATGTCAACCAATTATAATGTCAAAATAACTTTATTCATTTCTCCACACCCAAATAGATATATTCCCTACTATAACTCTAATCGTCGGATCAAAATACACTCGCACGATAATGGAAATGTGAGTGTATGCTATCTAATGCCTAAAATCCTTCAACTCCACGAGTATTTCCAATCTAGCCTAGCCATAACACCACAACTCCCTACATTTCATAAAGAATAAATCTACTTCAACGCTATCTTTTGACATAAGAGATGACACAAATAATGTGTAAGAATATGAATCGATGATATCTTAAAATTGATTCGATGTGTGAAACAACAAGATCTTGTCACATAAAACTTTATGTCAATTATTATATTACTATAACTGTAGCATCATCCCTTGAACAATTTACCTTCCATCAAAACACATTTATACGAATAAATATATATGTATAATTTGGTGGCTAAAATCCCTCAGTTGAGTCCACGAGCATGTCCAATCTACCCTAGCCACAACACCACAACTCATCCCTCAACATTTCAAACAAAATTCATCACATCTAGTGCTATTAAATTGAACGAGTCTAACTCGATTCGGTTCGTTTAGGCTCGAGTTTCAGCTCGACTAGTTTATTGTTTAAAACTCATTTAATTAACGAGTCGAGTTCGGCTCGACTCGATAAAGCTAGAAAAGAGAATTTTTATATAATGTTTCTATAATTCGACTAGCTAAAACTCGATATCGACATATTAAAACTTGATCTCGACTCATTATTAGTGATAAATCCTGAACTCAAGCTTGATTTCAAACTCGTTTACTTAACGAACCAATCTCGACTCAACTCGTTTGGGCTCGAACTCGACTCTACTTGTTTAGAAGCCTAATCACATCCCATCTAATATCCTCTCAAATCACAAAAATAATTTCAATATATTCTATTTTTCCTCTTCCACGACAATGCAAAAAAGTGACACAGGTGTCCCTCTCTCTCTCTTCCACGTTCTTACTCCCATTACATGCATTACCCCTTCTCAAAACCCTCACCCCCCGCCTATAAAACGCCACCACTAAACTTACCTATTCTTCTCACACAAATTCACTTCTCAAAAACCAATAATAATAATAATAATAGTAGTAGTAAAAATAATAATAATAAATACTAATAGTAATAATAATAAAATAAATAATAATAATAATAAATACTAATAATAATAATAATAATAATAATAATAATAATAAAACAATGATGAATATGGTGGTCCTTCCTCCGCCGCCAGAGGTCACCAACAACCTGGCCCAAATCTCCAGGTGCAGGCCCGCCGCCCCAAATTTCGGCTTTTCCGGAATCCCGGTCGTGGACCTTTCCAACCCGGATGCCAAATCTAAGGTGGTGGCCGCCTGCCGGGAATTTGGGTTCTTCAAAATCGTCAGCCACGGCGTGGCCGCCGATTTCCTGTCCGTGCTCGAGTCAAAGGCCGTTGACTTCTTCAACCTGCCCCAAGAGCTCAAGGAGAAGTGGGCCCCACCCGGCCCACTCGGTTACGGGTGCAAAAACATCGGCCCAAATGGCGATGTGGGCTGGATTGAGTATCTTCTCTTCCATACCAACACTGGCGGGCTCGGTTCCTCCGACTCGTCTGGTTTCACCGGAGCTCAGTTAACCCTCCGGTACAAATTATTTTCGTGAATTATTGCATGATAATAGTATTAATTAACTGTTTTATGATGAATATTATAGGTAAAATAGGGAATATAGATTATAATTATGTTTAATAGCTTTTTTTTCCTAGGTAGAGATATTTTTGTCCAACTTTTTTGTCAGCTATCACCTATTATTTGGAATTTATATTTTGAAATTGCAAGTTACTAGGCATATGTTTAGTTAGTTACTGGACCTATTTTACAATTTTCACATATTTTTGGGCATATTAATTATTATAATTGGTAAGTATATTCTGAAATTATTAGAGTGAGTTAGTCATATTTAGCTCTACTGAGTTACTGGACATATTTTGCAATTTTGCAGGGATTTTTTGAACGAGTACGTGGCCGTGGTGAGGTCGATGACTTGCACGATTCTCGAGATGGTAGCCGAGGAGCTCGGGATGGAAACCCGTGACACGTTGAGCCGCATGGTGCGAAATGAGGATAGCGACTCGTGTTTCCGTGTCAACCACTACCCTTCTTGCCCGGACCACTTTCAGGGCTTGATCGGGTTCGGTGAGCACACCGACCCTCACATCATGTCGGTCTTGAGGTCCAACGACACCTCGGGATTTCAAATCCTCCTCAACGACGGGTCGTGGGTCGACGTACCACCCGATCCCACCACCTTTTTCTTCATAGTCGGCGACTCCCTTCAGGCAATCAATCAATCCTGACAATTTTTCTGATACCAAGTACAAAAGTTATCCTGAGTTATCAATAATCCACACAGTTTTTCTGATAACAAATACAAAAGTTATTCTGAACTAACTACGAATACAAAAAAGGTGTTCTGAATTATGGATCTGCTTATTCTGAACTAACTACGAATACAAAAAAGGTGTTCTGAATTATGGATCTAGGCAGTTTTCTGATAAGAAATATAAAAGTTATTTTAATTTATCAATAATCCAGACAATTTTCTGATAAGTTGTTCTGAGTTATCAATCTAGACAGTTTTTTGATAACAAATACAAAAGTTGGTTGGGTTATCAATCTAAACTGTTTTCTGATTACAAATACAAAAATTATTCTGGGATAGTTTCTATGTCGAATTGTTCTATTAATAATAATAATAATAATAATAATAATAATAATAATAATAATAATAATAATAATAATAATAATAATAATAATGTCGAAATTCGACACAGGTGATGACGAATGGGAGGCTCAAGAGCGTGAAGCACAGGGTGGTGGCGGCAGGGCTCGGTTCGAGGCTTTCGATGATTTTCTTTGGTGGGCCGCCAGAGAGTGAAAAGATAGCTCCGTTGAGGTCAGTTATGGAAGATGGGGAGGAGAGTTTGTATAAAGAGTTCACGTGGGCCGAGTACATGGCCTCGGCCTACAAGACGAGGCTTGGGGACAATAGGCTGAGCCATTTTGAGAAGAAGAAGTATGCCACCGAGGCTTAGCACATGTTAAGTGTCCCTAGATAGAGCAAGTTGATTGTGCTTGATGAGTAGTCAAATACTTTTTGGGGAAAAGTACCAAATTTCATAAAATCAGGGCTCAAATTTTTTAACGCACCTCCTAGAAATTAAAAAAAAAAA